CATGGGTCCTTAGCCCCCTTTGAGGAACACACGCTTTGGGCTTTCACCCAAGCCTCCCTTAGTATCAGGAGTTAGTCTCTGGGACAAGCTTGAAACTTATTAAATATGGAATGTCCCTAAATTGTGAATTTGGACACGGGACGAACACCATTGTGTTCAGGCCGATCTCTATATTCCGTAGATATGCCAAATGAGCAAATCTGGACACTTTCCATAAATAGCATTTGGGACTGAAATGAGACCAACACAAAAGTCATGATAGCGAGGGTGTTTGGTAGACACGGTAAGCTATCATCTAGCAATATTGAGGGACCAAGCTCAATATCGCAGGGGTTCCCAACACTAGCAAGTGCAAGTCAACATTATGAGTTTCTCATCACTGTGTCAAGTCTGCTTGACAAATGACAACTTAGGATTTCCTTCCTTAGTGCCCTTACGGTCTAAGTGCACACGCGAAGACCAATTTCTCAACTAGCTCAGGTGGAGGCTAATAACGGGTTCAGCAATACCGACCTCCTGTCGTCGTGGCAGTAAGGAAAGAGTGTTCAAGTGTGGAGCTTGGGCTTAGACCCAAGGAGCACCTCTTGAGCATACATCCCAAGGAGTGAAGGGACAAGAGTACGGAGCGACTTAGAATAGTCTTAGAGCATCCAACATCTCAATGTCAAGACTAGCACACAAAACAAAACCAAATAAAGTTTAATGTTATTTTAGCATACCGGTGGTTTAACGCAAGAATATGGGTACTCCACCAACTAACATGGTATGGAACTTAGGCTTAAACCCAAGCCAGATGCAGAATAAAGATAGGCACACAAGCAAGAGCTAAACTATGCCTTTGGTTAGTTGGCCATTCCAACCTACCTACTATCCCTACTATACATTTGAAACCCCCCATAACCACCCCCCTCCCCCCCTATGAAGAACATACGCTTTGGGCTTTCACCCTTAGCCACCCTTAGTACCAGGAGTTAATATCTGGAACAAGCTTGAAACTTACTAAATATGGAATATCCCTAGATTGTGAATTTGGACATGGGATGAACACCATTGTGTTCAAGACAATCTCTATATTCCATAGATATGGCAAATGAGCAAATCTAGACACTTTCTATAAATAGCATTTGGGACCGGAATGAGACTAACATAAAGGGCAAGGAAAGAATATTTGAAAGACTAGCTAATAGGTAATTTTCAATACATGAAATCATCTTTGTGACATATGGTGTCTTAGCTGTAAACTCTAGAGGTTTGGGAGTTTCTCCCCAAGGTCATAAGGGGTCCCTACATCCCAATGATACAATAGAGACGGTCTATTTCCCTCACAAGAAGTTGAGCTTTCTTTCCCTCAAAATAAATCTTGTGTTCCCATCCTCTTTTCTCCTCACTTTTCCTTGCATAAAATCCTTTCCTTACAAGGAAGTTAATTTGGCAAGCTCCAATATAACCCTATAGAGGGAAGTTCACTGGGGCATCTACTAAGATGGTTTCTACTTGTGGGACTATGAGGATCTCAAATAAATAAAACCAACAACTATTAATCAAACCTCTTCTCTAGTGAAGCCATTTTTATTAACTTTTGAGTCTGGGTTGTCATCTATCATTTCAACACTGTCATCTTCTCGACCACCATTGCATCCAATGATGGCACCATTTTTCCAAAATAAGGCAAAGATTGACATCAAGCTGTTGTAGCTCTTGTCAAAGTTTTATGGATCTAATGTTCAAGACCACATTAATACCATTCGCTCACGATTGAAAATGTCTTATGTGGATGATAATCTATTTAGGGATTATTTTGTCTTGACATTATATAGGGCAGCAACTCAATGGCAACACTCACTCACTTTGCAACAACTTGCAAACTCAAGGGTGCTAACTACTCTTTTCTACAAGAGGTTTGTGCCACCAGAAACTAAAGATCACATCATTGTGGAGTTCCATAGCCTCAATAAAATGCTAAGGAGAATCTTGAGGTTTATAACTAGGTTTTTTGGGCATATCTCCATCCTTGTGGCCAATATGGAGTGGAAAAGAAAGGCCAAAGGATGTACATTTCTATGTGGATAGCCTTCACTTGGATTTGGCTCGCAAGGTTTGAAAGAGGTAGTTTGGGGCAGTAAAGGCTACAATAGAGTGTACAATAGAGCAAAAGGAAAAACAACTCTTAAAAGTTGGTGTTATCTTAGATATAGAGTGCAACATGATTTAACCATCCTTTTACAAGCTTGACTCAATCAAGTTTTGAGTCAAGATGATAGTTGCTATCATGGACAAGATGCAAAAAATCTAGGAGCAATTTTATGAGAAGATGGTTGTGACTACATAATGCCAATGAAGTGGTGAGCCAGAAGTTCTAACGCATGATATGCATAAAGCAAACAATAACACTAACTACTATCAACAGTAACAAGGTGGTTATGAATGTTAAGGTAGTTGTGGATATTGTGGTTAAAGTTTTCATACTCCCTACAATACTGTTCCATAACCTTACTTGAGATGTTAATATAAAAAGCAAGATTATCATATTTAACAACCACCCAAGAAGTGTTTGTATTATGGATGATGGGGGCACATTGAAGGTGCCTGTTTTACTAAATAATGAGCACTTCAAGTTCAATAGAAATGCTAATATACATTGCATTTTGTTGTTTTAGGGAACACAAGCTCGTCATAAAAAATTCTTGGCCCAACTTCACTTCCAAACAATGCTCATCTCATTTAAGCTATTGCTATGTTTCAAATTGTCAGATCTTCTACAAATGTTGGTGTAAATCATGTGGGATGACATTGCTCAACTAAGCCAATCCTATCTATTGCTCAACTTTTGTAGCTAGTGCCACATCT